CAGGCGCTCAGCAGGCACCCGGACCTTCATGGAGCCACGGATGTTGCCGGTCTCCTCGCCGCGGTGGGACAGGTAGGTGAGGAACTGCTGTGCTGTGCTGCCAATCATCGACTTCAGGGCAATGACACACTCCCCTGTGAGTGACAGTGGGGGGGTCGGGGGGCTGCACCCCCATGGACCCCCCGGTGCCGGTGCGCTGCCAGTCTGGACACTCACCATAGGACTCGTAGCCGTCGAGGGATTTGACAGTGAGCAGGAGGTGCTGGTCCTGCAGGTACTCGATCTCAGAGAGGATGGGCTTCAGCTGTGGGCAAAGGGATTGAGTGCGGGCATTGAGGGGGGTCTGCCTGACTCCATCCTCCCCCAGTGCCCACCCTGCCAGCCCCCAGCCCCTCCTCACCGTGGGCAGCTGCCGGGATGACCACTGCACCTTGAGGAAGTTGATATTGTCACTGCTCTGGCTGTCATTCTCAAAGCTCTTCTTGAACTCTGTGGTGGTGAGGAGACATGAGATGACACCTGTCAGGCCCTCTGGACTCCTCCAAGCCCCCCAGAACTTCCCACTGCTGTCCCAGACATCACCTTCCAGGCAGGTGGAATAGAACTCGATGAAGAATTTGGTGCGACTGGATGTCTTCACAATGGCCTCGATGCTCTCGAACTCGATGTACGCCTGCTCTGAGGACTTGGAAAGCCCTCCAATGGAGAGGCAAGGCATTGGAACCTCCCTAAGACCTCCCCATCTCGAGGGAGAGATTGGACCCGCGGCAGGGAGGGGGACAATGAGGTGTCCCCTCGGGCACAGGCACCTTTTTTGGAGACGAACTGGGATGTCACCCCCACCTCGAAGGAGCCGAAGACGGGCGAGTGATCACTGGTGACTATGTCATCCGTGCATCCTGCAGTCAGCAGGGATAGGGGTGGGGTCAGGATGGGGGAACTGTCCCCAGAAGGGGATGTTGAGGGGTTACACTGCTCACCATAAGCGTTGCAGTTGACATGAGTCTCGGGGTAGGATTTCCAGAGGATGCGGTCACACCAGGATGGCACGTTGGTACGCACCTGGCAGAGATGGGGAGTGGGTGGGGGTTCATGTTGGGGTTCCCCCCACCATGCCCTCAATCCCCCTGGCACCTACCCCCGTGGGCTTCTGCTTGTGCCAGACGTAGGTGTCTCGGGAGCCTCGCTCATAGCGGTAGGTGGGGGGGAAGGTGATCTCCTCCTCACCTGCACAGACAACAGTGGGTCAAGACAGTCCCGCAGCAGGGGTCTGACGCCCCAAACCCTCCTAGAGCCCCCCCAGCCCTCACCAAAGCGCAGGAACACTTTGTGCTTCTCCTTCTCCAGGTTGAGCTGATCTACCTTCAGCAGTGGCTCCAGCTCCTTGCGGCTGATGTAGTTGAGGATCTCCTGCAGAACAGAGGGGGCTGGCACTGGGCTGGGGGGGACACACTCTGACCCCCCCTCATCCCCCACCTCCCTCCCCTGACCTGGATATCCATGTCCAGGCGGTAATTGAGGTCTCCGAACCAGAAGAGGTGGGTGAAGCGGAGGGAGATGTCAAAGGAGCTCAGCTGCTTGTCCCCCAGAGAAAGCAGGCGCAGGATGTCCAGGTAGTTCTGGTTCCTCCTGAAGCAGGGAACACAGGGATAGGGTTGTCACAGGGACAGGGACGGGGGCAGCAGCCCCCGACAGCCCCTCCTGGTATGGGGGTGCTCACCGTGCCGTCTTCTCATTGCCGGAGGTGAGGTGGCAGTTGACAAAGCCAAAGGAGGTGCCATTGAACATGAAGGAGACACCCACAGCACCCTTGTTCCCTGCAGGGACACAGTCACATGGGATGGGGGTCCAGCTGGGTCGGGGGGGTGATCCCCCACCCTGGGGGATGGGCACTCAGCTTGCCTCAGGTCATGGTGACAGGGCACAGTCCCCACCCAGCCAGCCAGTATGGACACCTGCAGCTTGGCATGCACCCACAGCTCCCCTCATCCAAAGCACACATGTCCAGACTCCTCCTCGTGCAATACATGTGCCCCAGGACCCCTCCCTGTGCAACACACGCACACCAGGGCCTCTCCTTGTGCCACACACACACTGGGATCCCTCCCCATGCAATGCACGCACACCAGGATGCCTCCTCGTGCAAGGCACACATGCTGAGACCCCTCCTCAAGCAACACACATGCTCCAGGACACCTTCTTGTGTGACACGTGCAACATCAGGACCACCCCCACTGCAACACAGATCCCCTAGGACACCCCCGGTGCAGCACACACCCCATGTCCCCCCATGCCCCTACCCAGGGTGTTGGCAATCCCTGTCTTGACGCTGGAGGTGCTGACGTGACTGATGCGGTTCTCATGCTCTGGCTTCACCAACACCACCACCTTGATGTTCCACAGGGACTGCATGGCCACCTGCAGACCCCAGCACTCTCAGTCCCCTGCCAGCACACACTGGGGGCCCCCCTGGGCTCGGGGGGCCCTCGGTTGCATCCACAGGGAGTGCTCACTGCTCCTTCACCCACGCCTCTCCCACCAAGGGCTGTTCCCCAAGGAATCCCACTACCACCAGCACCCAGAGCCACCCAGCACCGTGAGCGCATCTCCAAACCCCCGGTGTCACTGAGCCAGAGAACAGAGCATCACCCACATCCACCACCCACTGGTGCCTACACCCTGTGGCCTCCAGGATTCCCCAGAGCCCCTGGTTCCTACCGGGCGGTACTCAATCTCCGTGAAGTCCTTGAGGACGGAGCGCAGGAAGTCCACCCACTCCTTGTCTCCCAGGGAATTCTCCTGGGTGCCAAAGACGTAGATGTCATGGGGGATGGCCATCGTCACCTCATCCAGAGTCTTGCCCAACCCCTTGGAGGTGAACCACGATGTGATGTTCTTGGGGGGAGGAACGCTGCCTGCAGAGGGGGTGGCATGGTTAGGGGGGATCCAAGGCCTTGGCATTGAGGGGAGGTCTCAGCTCACCCTGGGCACGCTCACCCATGTTCCAGGTGCCAATGAAGATGGAGATCATGTCAGGCTCATCCTGGTGGGAATGCTTGTTCTTCATCAGCTGCAGGAGCTGACAGAAAGCCTCCCGCTTCTGCAGGGAAGGACACTGAGGGGAGGCAGAGGGGCTCCCCATAACCCCCTCCAGTCCCCTACTTCAGCTCAGCCAATCTTGGCATCCCCTGGGCACAGGGGACAACCCCAGAGGCATCCCCCAGCTGTCAGGCACTGGCACCCAGCACCTGCCCCTGAGCCCTACCAGAGCCCAGGGATTAATCCTGCCCACAAGAAGACCCCCTGCCTCCACCCCTGCCCTGACAGAGCATTACGCACCCGAGCACTGATGAAAACAAAGTCTTTCCGTTGTGTTCTATCCTTTTCCTTCTCAAAAACGATGCCCAGTTTGTTCTGCACCCGCTGAGACTTGATCAGCTGCCGGACTGGAGGGAGCAGGGAGAGCTGGGGTGATGCTCAGTGCCAGCTGGGTGCTGGAACTCCCCAAACCCACACTTTGGGGGACCCCTAGGATGGGGACACCACACAGCTCCCAGCCCACCACTGAGTCTCATGGCAATGCTCCTCAGCACGAAGGCAGTCCCAGGGGTGCAGGGGATCCCCCAGGTGAACCCCCACTCACTCTTGTCATGGGTGAATGTATTCCAGTCCTCCTGGGAGTCTTTCTGCTTCTTCAGAACCACCAGCTTCCCTCCCTCCACATCCACACTCAGCGTGTACTTCTGCGACTTCCCGATCTTCGTCAGATCCCCCAGGGTGACATCCAGCTTCACCTGCCAGGAGACACTGGGATGAGGGGGGGACACTCCCTAGCCCCCCAGCTGGCACCCACCCTCCCACTGGGGCACTGAGAGGTCTGTGCCCTCAGTGTTACACCAGATGTGTTTAGCTGATGTTGAAACCCTCCCAAAACTCCAAAACCAGGGGAGAGGGGGTGGGTGGGGTAGGGCTCACCTCAAAGGTCTGCACTGGGATGCTCTTGGCCTT